CGATTGCCGTCGCGTATACCCCCGCCACGCCGACACGCCACCGCGGGGGTATATAAACCGAGCAATGTTGCTAGGTTTTAGATTCCACCGTGAGACAGCAAACCGATCCGACCGATTCTCCGCTGCTCACGGATCCCGAAATCCCACAGTCGAACAACCAGGAGGTACAGAGTATTCTCTGCCTCTGCCAAGTGAAGCATCTGGGCGGTTGACTCGAATTCCATACGAACACCTGTGACACCGGAGTGAACCAGGGTAAGAGAGTTCTTCTCTTACTCGCCAAGGGTCTTGGCCACCCGGTGCCGCCTCCCGCCTACACAAATCGATGCGCCAGGAAATAGAAAGTACTTCTCTATCTCCGCTAAGGGTCTTAGCCGCTCGATATCCCGTCCAATCGCGATCCAGCGCCTTATACGCTCACTGCCGCCGTTATCCAAACCTGCGATACCGCGTCACCCACGCCGAAATACCTCAGCGAGCCCGCACGCCCGCCGATCCGCGAAACTCCGCGATTGCCGTGTATCATCGCTTTATCAGGCGTCCGCACGCCCTGTGATATCTATATTGTAACCGCGTCCGCGACCTATTACACGTATCCAGCGACTCCGCGCTATCTGCATTACACCGCCATTATAAACCGCGCCCGCGATCTATCACACGTAGCCATCAACTCCGCGATCACTGTAATCCGTCGCTATCGTAGCAGCGACCGCGATCTTTTGTACATATTCACCGCTCCCGCGAGCATCTCTATGTATTCACGCGTAATTGAATAAATACCTTATTTTGTTTTATTATATTTTAACCGAGTCTTGTGCCTTCCTCCGCGCCTACTCCGAACCCTGACCAGCCGCGAGCTAAATCCGCGCTTCGGAAACTAAGTTGTTTTAACTTGGTTTTATATCGGTCGGCCGGATATAATTCTTAAACTAAAATTACGCGCGGTCTCTGCCGTCTTACCGAGTTTGTAATTTTTAATGATACGCAAAATTCCAAATGTAATTAGCCGCACGGGCTTTCAACGCAACTTAATATTATATTTCTAACGAGTTGTAAAGCTACACCGTAAATGTAATCTTAAGGAAACTAAAGCGCGAATGTCTTTTTAATGATAATCAAACAAGATAAACGATGTATAACCATTTTGGCAAGAAAGTTATCAACATAAAATTGAAACAAAATAAACGTGTATTCTATATATGTTTTCTATCGTCGATCGACGAGCCGTCTCTCCCTATTTCGGCTTCCAAGCCTCGTCGTCGTCGCTCTCGCTCTCTCCCGACGGTGACTCGAAATCGTCGGAAGGCTGATCCACCGGACCGATCGGGAAGTCGTATCCCACGAATTCCGCGATCGCGTCTATTAGCGGAGGAGGCGCGGGAGTTGTTATAGGGAGCTGTAATGCCGACATTAACGGCGTGGGCGACATGCATGGGAGTTCGGTCTCCCGTGGTGCAGATGCCGCTGCTGGTATGCCCTGAGGCGGCTGCGCTTCCGCTACCGCTCGTTCCGCCTGTGCCGCGCGTGGTTCCGCAACGGGTAGTCTCTGCAATAATACTCGGGGTGACCGTTTTGGTCAAGCGACGCGGCTGTTGGGAAGTGCCCGGTCGCAAGGTTAGGTTAGACCGTCAGACAAAATAAGTTTCAATGAACTGACACAATTATTCTTAATCTATAGACTTTGAAAAAAAATAAAGTGTCACGTTTAAAAATTGGTTGATAATTTAATTTAGAACAATAATTTAAAAATAATTAAAGAAAAGCTAAATATGAAAAAAAATATATCTTACTTTCGAATAACTAAAACAAACTAAAAGTTGTTCAGAACCTGCTTATGGCATATTTTCCTAATTAGATTCGTAACCTAGCCGTGCCCGTACTTTTTAACTTTATCGCATATGAATATTTTAATCACCTTGTGAAAAACATTCTGGGTCATCTATACCAAATTCTTGGAAAGCCTTCACAAAGTTAGATCCATTATCCGTAACTGTAGCTATAATTTTATCACATGTTAATCCAAATGTTGTATGGATTCCTTCTAACATCTCCGCAATATTGTCAAACGAATGAGTTCCGGGAAATCGCCTGCATGCTAAAGCTGCCGATTTTCTGTCTAGAGTTTTTTCGTCAATCTGTTGATTAATATTATAAGTTTTTATAAACAATCGTATAGAAATCTAATAATTACTATTCAGTTATGTTGACAGTTAGTTTAATTATATCTTATGCAAATAACACATTTCTTATCCAGTGAGCAGTAACACCTAGAAATCTCCTATTTGAACCAGTCCAAATGTCAGCTGTTGTGCAAACGTAACGTGCACTGTTCATCGCTTTACGTATTTCACTGACTTGTTTATTATGTAAGTCATTCACTTTTTTACCCACTGTATAACGGGTCATATGTTTCAACGGTTGATTACCATGCTTGATTTTTAAATCTAAAACAAATTAACATATTGTACATTAATTTTTAATTAAGAGAATTATTTTACAATTTTATTTAAGAAAAGTAACTATAAAAAGTGTGCAAGTAAAAACTTGCACATTGCTTCCTCATAGTTATTAAGTGTGCAACTAGAAACTTGCACATTGCTTCTTTATAGTTTTTAAGTGTGAAAGTAGAAACCTTCGCTCACAAAGCTCCTCTATGAGTAAGCTTTTATTTTATTTAATGTATAATTATTAGTATTTATTTTTTTGGCTTCTTCATAGAGAGATTTACAACAATCTAAACATATTGGCGGAAAAAACTCAAAAACCAATCTCTTCGTTGGTTTCTTCTACCCCTATTTCATATATAAATCATTTAAATTTGGTTGATTAGACCCAACTTTATACGCAATCAAAGGTTCATATACGAAATTTACGAAAACAAAGCTTCCTCTATGAGGAAGCAAAAACAAATAAAAAACGTATAAATAAACTTTTAAGATAAATGAATGTGTCTCATAACAATAACAATGCTATATACAAAAATCTATATTAGTATAATTTGTGTGTTGTCAGGATAAATACTTAAAATTACAATTTTTTATTATTATTTATTATTGTATATATGAATTAAA